TAGTATTAGAATAGACAGGGTGAGAAGGGAGACCATGCTGGGAGGAGTTAAAAAATAGGCCTCTTCTGAAGACACAGAAACAAGGCTGAAGAGTTTGGAGCATAGCTTCTGACATCATATTACTCTGCTCTTCAGCTTGTAGAATTTCGCAATACAGCAAAAAGGTGGGACAAACCCTGGGCAGACACAACAGTGTGTGTGCTGCCAAGGTAAACATTCTCCATCTGGCTGCAGGGCAGCTTGCTGCGTCCTGTTGCCTCTCCCAGTGTTGGTCCACCGTTGTAACCTACTAACAAAAGAAGAAATAAAGCTTTCAACATTTTGTTATTTTTTTGCGATGTTTATATAGGTATGATATTTTAAAAAGTCTTCTGTTTAGCAAGCAGGTTTTCATCCCTATCTCGGCTGTACCGTGATGGCTTTGACAATCTTCCAACCACTCATGGCAGGTTTCAGACCATCTCGTCACGCACCAAGGTACGACTAACTCATCAAACTACAACCACAGGGATTAAACTTGCCTGTTCCCTTAAAAATTTTTTATGATGAAAAGCTTTTACAATTTAAAGTAGGTAAAAACACTTTATTTCCTCTTCCCTCCCCCAGCGATGTAATCAAAAAAAATGTGTTTCATTGTAGGAGGCAATTGTTTAACTGGTTTCACTGGAGTACTGGTACAACAGCTAGAATATTAGCTGGTGAGTAGAAATAATAGTTGTAACGCCTATGTAAATGGCTTAAAGTATCTTTCTTCATTGTCTGCACTATTACTGATCTAAATATCTATGGACATTCAGTCTGGGCAAGTGTGAAGATTCTCTTTCTTGCTGTCCATCTCCTGTGTGAATTTTAAGTAGCCATCACTTTAGAGAGGAAAAAGTGGCTGTTTAAAACTAAAGAAATTACTGACAAACCTGAAATATCTCTGTAATGAGGACCTGTTCATATCTTCAGTAATTTCTTTTAATCTTGGAATATTTGAGGATAGTGTTCTTACAGTAACATAGTTCAATGTTATTTAATGGGAGAGGGAACTGTCACTTATTGAACCAGAAGCTGGGTTTAATTCTAGTCATAGAGATAAGTTTCCACAGGCAGGTTAAGCATAAATAGTATGGTGCTGTGGTCTTGTTGGAAGTCACAAATGCTAGCGTTTGTGTCTGTAATGTGTTAGCTTTCAACCTACTTAGTGCGCTCTTTTGGCTTTTTCCTTTTCTTCCTGTCTTGCCCGTTAAACTACCAAGAAAACACAGCCCCCCCCAACCCCACTCTCCACACCAAACAGAAAAAAACCCCAACAAACTAACAATCTTTTAGCTGCCTGAACTCCTTTAACCTCATTCCTCTAGTAGTTGTAAGCAATTCATGGGAAATCTATTGCCAAAAGCATTGAGAGCACTTTGAGTAGCTTGGCACAGCATTCTTAGCATCTTCTTGTCTTGTTTTTACTGACCAGTGGTGACTATGTTCTTGGGAATGGATCTACCAGCACTTGACCTGCCAGACGCATGGGACACCTATACAATGATTGGCTTTGTAGCTTGGCATGTTGGTATTGATGTTCTGCTGGAAATACACAGCTACTGTCTCATACGTAAAGGTACAAACCCAGAACAGCTCTTGTTGTGACCTTGATCACTGAGCATAAAAAAATGTAACAGTGTGGGTTAAATTTCAGGAGGTACTCTTTGGCCTCTAACTGGGAAGCTGACAAGAAGCAACTCTTGGTTAACAGTGTTATATCTTCTGTACAAACTAATATGGAAGTAATCCCCATTTTTACAGAACGCTTTTGTCTTGAAAACTGGTTTGTGCCTTTTTAAATAGTAGCCTTTTGTTTCTCAAACCACAGTTCATAGGGGCAGACTGAAATGCATAAATATCTTCAAAGAATTGTCATTGTTGGCAACTTTGATCCCAAGCAGGTACATTAAGTCCAGGCTAAGTCATGGATTTAGTCTACCCTGTATTGTTGACAAATTGCTGCTGGTTGTTATTGCATGAGCAGAATGATCACTTGAGCTTAGATAGTTGCACTTCTGAGTGAATGGGGAATGAAGGTGAAACCCTGACTCTAACATGTCTAGTGAAGAGAGGAGTAGTACTTTCATTGGAATGATCTTCACTGGCTGGAGTCACAGAGAGATGACTGCACGTGTAAAGGACCTGTATCTAAGTCAAAGATGAGATCTGCAGGATTGAAGAGGTGTAATTAAGAGGCTGTGTAAGGTGGCAAGTGGAATAGGACTGATTATAAAACATGTGAATTTAGATTTAACGGCAGTAATTACTTTCTAGAAATAGAATTTAATCTGAAACATTTGGACAATGAGTTTTCTGATGTTGGCTAATGAAAAATACTTCTTAATGAATTTTAGTTATCTTAACATGTAAAAGGAAAGGGTATTAGCTCAAACTCCAGTGTTTTAATTATTCAGTCTAGCAAAAGCGACAAAATGGTTTTTCCACATCAGTGTCCAGAATTTAGTTTTTGTGGGTCAATCCCAGAATAATTTTTCACTTGTGCTGTGAATATGATAGGTAGAGGTCATGAAATGTCAAATGAGACTTCCAAGTTGTTTTTCAGGCTTGATGCTGTGCAAGACTCACAGGATCAAGACTTCTATAGTATAAAAATAAACCCCCCCTTCCTCTTAAGAGCAGACTTAACTTCTTTTTTTCTTCCCACGAACAGTTGAAGTGATAGAGGATGACAGAGTACAGATACTGCAGTCACTCACATCTGCAGAAGCGGAGGTGAGTCACAATTTGGTAAATAACTATTGTGAAATGGGATGATTGTTTAAGCCAAAAAAAAACCTGACAGTTCTATGACTTTTTTCCCCTTTTCTTTCAGGGTCATCTATTTAAACAGGTTGTGTTAACCATCTATGTCTGCGGAAATATAGTATTCCTTGTTGCCTTCCTGATAGCAGTCAACAAAATATGAAATAAGTAATGGAGAATTATGTGATGAAATACTGCACTGTTGAAAAATCTGAAAAAAATTATTTCTATTACAACTTTTCTCTCAACATCTCCCTGAAGATGTAATTGAAGAATAATAGCACATGTGTCATGCTCGGTGTTAAGGAGATCTGGAATTCAAATCTATAGAAGGATGAGAAGGATGCTGCAGTCCTACAAAAGCTGCCTTCTGGCAGGACTTTTAATGGGAATTTTTGCCTGAGTAAGGAAGCCTTTTTTTTTTTTTTTTTTTTTTTTTTTTTTTTTTTTTTTTTTTTTTTTTTTTTTTTTTTTTTTTTTTTTTTTTTTTTTTTTAGCACAGTAGTTAACTTGTTTGAAGCTTATAGGTTAAGAAGCCTGAGAAGATGTGCTAAAAGTGTTTTGATCATCAATTCCCTAAACCTTTTGTGAATATTACTGGGGCATCTGGAAAGATTGATCTGGATTCTGTCATATCTGTTCACTGTGTGGCATGTGATGTGACTACTTCCTGTTTGTGACAGTTTTTTGCATTAAAAAAACCCCAAAACCAAAACAAAGAACTTAGTGAAAAAATGTCACAAATGCAGATTGATGCACGAATTAAACACATAACAGTTAAATGTGAGAGATGCTCTCTCTGCTCCAAGAGCAGCAGTTTACTCATACAACAAGCATAGGAGTGTGGAAACTTCAGTCCTTTAGTAAAACTACCATTTGCCTCACTCAGAATACTTTTCCATCTCATCCCCCTCAGTGCTTATAAACCATAAAGAGACAGCATTTGCAACATAAGTTTATTAAACCTGATTGTACTTATCCAAAACTCAAACAGGAAGAATCTATCTGTGTGTATGGATTTCTGTGTTTTTCTGTCCCTGGTTGCTTGTGGCTTCTGAGTTATTTTCTGTGTGAGTACTATGGGTTTATGCCAATTGATGCTTAAATGGAAGTGAAAATACTTGTTCAGGAATGTTGCAATTGTATTCGTGCTGTTGAGTGAAGTGTGCATTAGGAGTTAGGATGACTTCAGGAAAAGCAGCTTCTGTTAATGTAAAGTGAGAGTAGCTTAGCTGGCATATCTAGAAGACAGAACTTAGAGTTCTTCAACAACTCAATTTTTTAAGAGTATGGGAGGGCATTTTTTTAGTCAAAAGGTTTATCTAAGTATATGAACTAGGTAGAGAGAACAGAAAGAGACTATATTGTTTGACTTCTTTGGTTCATGGTTGGTCTAAGTATGGAAGGACACTTCTGAAATGGCATCTTGGAAACAAACCTTTAATATGCTGTGCAGTACAGTACTATACATTTGTTTTATGACCCTGAACAGCTTGTATCCACATATCTTCATTTTTGGTACTGGAAAGTATTGATTTTCAGTTGTAACACTTCAAAATATATTTTCAGTCTAAGGCTACTAAGCTATCTGTGAATGAAGGTGCTGATATACTGGATAGAATAGTAAATAGTGAGGCCTGGCATGGTATAGACTTTTACAGCAACATCTCTCTACTACCTAAGGGACAGCGCTAAAATACCGGTAGGTGCGGGTCAGGTGCTGGTTCTCTCCATTTACTAAAGCTGTCTGTTTCTGTATCTTCCTCCATCTCCTCAGGTCCACAGTGCAAGGACACAATATTCAGAAAACTACAAGTTTGTTCGCAGTTGATCTTCTTTTTGTCTGTTCAAGTATCTAGTTTAGCTATGAGGGCATTTATAGAGCTGGGATTAATCCCTTTGTCAGCAGCAGCTGACTGCGAGTGACTGTAAATTGAATCATCCACCTTCCTCCTGGAAGCTGAAAAAGTCATGTAAGTCAGATTGGGAAAGAGGGGCTAAGAAGAAATGAGTCACAACTTAGGCTGAAGTGCAAGAAGCACAGGGCCAGTTGTGTGGGTTGGTAGGTTTTTTAGAGAACTCTGATTGCAGAAGCCTAGGAATCTTAGGCCCATCTAGTGCTAAATTTTGTTGGGACTCTTTCATATACTGGGAGTTTATAGAAGACAAATCACTCAACATAGACATGACTGATGGCTTTTTAAATTAAGGTCAATGCCAATTCTTTTTGTAATACAAGAGCTGTACTGTGTATTGTTTGATTTACATGTGACAGTGAACACAGGGGTTTTAAAACTTGAATGTAAATATCTCAGTAGAAGGTTTTGTCCTTTTTAGTAATGTGAAGACACTGTCAAAGAGAAACTAGAAAAGTCTTGCCTAGGAGCAAAATGGATTGTCTGGTTTTTGTCAATGTTGTTTTATAAATTAAAGCTATCTAAATCCTTCCTGGACAAACTAGTACTGAAATTTAATATTAAAATAATTTCACTTCATAATGCAGTTTCTTTTCCTCAAGAATAAAAAAAAATTCCTTATTCAACATCTAATACAGCTTCCACACTGGCCAATTTGTCAGTTGTTCTGGAGAACTTGTTTCTTCCCATTGTAAGATTGTGTAGTTTCTTACATGAACTCTTATGTGCAGTATTGTAATCTAATTGATTGAAAGACTTGCTAACTTTATGTAATGTCTGTTCACGTAACCACCCCTGCCCTTTTTCTGCATGACTGATAAGAGGAAGGAATGTGTCATTGTATCATAGTGACTTCCAAATTTTCTGGTATACTCCTTTGAAAAAAAAAACAAGTCCACGGAAGTGTTTGATGTTGGCAGGAAAGTTGCTGACGGGCGACCTTGTTCTACAGACACTGGATGCTGCTGTATTTTTTTTTCTTTGAATCATACAATATTGTATAGAAGAAAATGCCCATTGCTTTGCTTCCTAAAGGGGTCACACCGAAGTCAGGAAAATTTCTTCGCCAGAAGAGACTGAGAAGGTTTGAGTGTTTTCTTTTAATCTCAAACTTGTGATGACAAGTTAAAATTAACATATTTCTGTTTGGCTTCTTCTAGGCAGGTAAACACTCGTATCCAAGTAGAAATTTGTCATCAGTCTCACAACAAGTAGTTTACTGTTTTGATTGAGTTGTTAGGTGCAGCCTCCAAATACTGGTCCTCTGCTCTTGACTCAGCAACAAATTGTGCTCCTTGCCTGTGTTTTGAAGGAAAATTGATTGATGCACATAACTCAAGTGCAATAGAATTCACTGCTACTGTGCTTTACTTGGAGTTAAGTTTTTCCTAGTTGATATTTCAGGCTGCAGAATGAGCCAGAAAAAGGTGTGCTTCGTTTCTCCTCCCTACACTGAGCGCTAAGTTGTTTCCTGTTTTGTCAAAAATCACAGGATGGGGAGTAATTATGTTCAGTGTAATTATGGCCATGTTTTTCTTTCACCTAGGGAAGGTTAGAGAGAGCGCGCCTGCCTTGTGTTTGTAACATCCCGGTTTGTAACACAGCGTGGCGCCCTTGTTCAGATAACAGCGCTTTTCTTTTGCTTGCTGGCTTTAAACTGGAGATGTGTGAAGGCTGTCCAAAATAGGAAGTATTCCTAAATTAACTAATTGGAAAGAATCTCAAGCTTTATGAAGAAACTCAATCTTTAAATTTAAAGCCAGCTCATACAGATAGACATTTTGGAATGGGTGTTTGCTTGATACCTATGCTCTCAAGCTTTTGATTGACCAAGTATGGATGGACTGTTTTCTTTTGTCATGCATGTAAACTGTGCTCTGCGTGGGCACATCCCTTTCCAAACAACTTAAGATGAAGGGCAGTCATTTAGGAAAAACAGCAATATTCTGTATTTCAATGCAGAAGTCAGTATCTCAGTGATTTTAGACCTTTGGTACAGACTGAAGTAAGAGTCCAAGGAAGTAGAGACATGGTTAACAGGGATATTCTGCTAGTATGTCTGAAAAATTCTTTGCTCATATCAATCTGATCCAAACTTCTCTAAGGGGTATATGTGAAGGGAAGGACTGTTGCATACACCTGAGAAGTGGCACAGCACAATCAGCACAGGGCAAGTTCTTCAGAACATGCTTTTTTTTACATTAATTTTCATGTATGGGTAGTGAATTTCACTTGTAGGTTACTAAGAATTCCCTCTTGTGAAGCCTCTTTTCAGTCTCCTTTAAACTTCTTTGAGTAGTACTATGATGGTAATTGCATTTTTGCTCCCTTTTCTGGAGTATTTAAGTTTAATAGCACAGATTGTTGGGGAAGGCATAGCAGTCTGCTGGTGTTACAAAAACTGCTCATGACTACTTCAGGTGGCTTTCCTACTCTCACTTTTTGGTGTATCCTGTTAAGAGTTCACAAAATCACTGAAATACATGGAGTTGGAAGGGACCCACAAGGATCATCGAGTCCAACTCTTAGCTTGAGGGTGAAGCCCTCTGGTCTCACAAACAGCAAATAACAGAAGAAGCATAAGAAAAAACCCCTGTAAAACAACAACCAAAAAAATCCCAGGATAGACATAGAGGAAGTGTACTACAATTAAATTTATTTGTTCTTATTTACTATTTCACTCTCTAGGTAACCATTTCTGACAAGTCTTAAAATTCAAGATTATTACCTACTTCAGACTGGGAGCCACCAAGTGTTTAGAGGCTACAAGTCAGCCAATTACTACTATCATGCCTCAGTATGAGGTAGTAGCTTCAGTTTCCTGCTTTGAAAAGAAGACCAGTGAAAAAATTAGTGGTTTTTTGCTGGTGCATAACTTGAGTCAGCTATGCTAGAATAACACAACCTGAGCTTTATTTCTTTAGTGTAACAAACCAGGCTAAGGCCTAGCAAATTAAAGCTATTGTACTGATTTGAATATAAGGGTGTATGTAGTGTGCTATGAGGCACTTCTTCCCCCCAAAACTGTGTACTGGAAAAATCTGCCTTGGATGTGATTTTTCTGAGTATAATTGTACCTTATGGCTGCTTCTAATTTTAGTTCCCCAGCCAACTGAAACCTGTATACCAAACACTACGGTTGGTTTTCTTTTTTTTGTGGCTTTTGTTTGTTAATTTGTTTTGATGGACAGACATTGCCTGTCTGGCAGCCAGTTTCCCAGAAAAGCAGGACTTTCTGAGTAAGCTGGGAGGTGAAACTATGCTCAGGAGGTCAGGCTGTTTTATGCACAGGACTGAACTAGGAGGTTGTGGGTTGGCAGCACATGTGACACAGGGAAGGGAGCAGGGTTTGAGGATGGCTCTACTGTTGTATGTAGCATAGGAGGGTGAATGGACTGTGGAGCTCTAGAAGGTGGATAAATATTTTAATATGCTGACTTAACTATTTTTGGTTGGTTCTGCTGTCACTTAAGAAGGAATGCTTTAAATTTCAGCCAAGGTAGCATGATTGGAAAGCAGCTTTTATATTTACGTTTCTTCCTGATCTTCTCTTTCATGTTTAGCTTTTTATTAACCAGTGCTTTTGACAAGAAAATGCTGGGGTGGCATCTTTGGTTAAAATGGGATAGATTGGCACACTTTGATGTGAAGCAATGTCCCGAGAAGTTCCATGGCAGTGGGTGTTTATCTGCTCTGTGTATATAGCAACAGCATATTCCTGATTGTGGGAACAGGTACTTACATGTCTTCGTAATTGTATATAAACTGCATTTATGGCCTTATGTAACTTCCCACTACTTTTAACAAAATCCAGGATATGATTTGCGTGTATGTGGCAGTTGGTCAAATCTGAAAGTCTGTTAAAGTCCATTAGATTATGCACAGGGCAAAATAGCCCATAAAACAGAGGTCAAAACAAGCATTATGATCCAGAAAAAGCGTGTGGAAGAAAGTCTTCTTAGCTTTATTCTGCTTTGAGTAATAAATTTTACTTCCATGTCACTACAGCTGTTAAATCACCTTTTTCCCCAGCTTTGCCATTCTCATCCTCAGAGCTGAAAAAGAAAACCAAACAAAATTATTGCATTTCAAGACTTTCTTTCTATTTCTGAAGCAAAGTCTCCTTGTTTAGAAAAATGAAGAATACACATACCTCCAGTGATTAATCCAGCAGAATATGCATTGTTTTAGTGTTATAGAAAGAAATCAGTAGAAGGTGTTAGTTCTGGTAATTTTGCAACAAAGCGAGTATATTAAGCAATTACTCCATTATCTCTATTTGATGATTAACCCAGCTATCTCTTGTTTGTCCTTTACCTTCATTAACACATTGAACACAGATGGTATTGTCCTTGACTAAATGATGACAGATTAAAAGGATGCATGAATAATTAAACAAACTCTTTGTTTAAACTAAACTCCTCAGTGGGAGCTGTAACTGTTTGGAAGCTTTTGCCTTTTGTGTTCATATTCATAGAAAACTTTCTTTTCTTCCTGGTATTGAGTCAGAGTGGAGGTTCGTCACATTCCTGATTTCATCTGATGGAGTAACAGTATCTGTATAAACATTAGCGTGGCTATTGCCTGCAATTGGGTGTAATGTGAGTTAGTTTGAAAGTGACAGTGCAGGGCAAATGATTAAAGGTTATTTTTAGGACAGCAATATAATGCCATTGTTTGATATGGAAGAGCCTCCCCCAGCACCTAGTTGATCTGAGAATGCAGTGGGAATAATCTCCAGTCCTCTGACCTGTTAGTTTGAAGAGTCACCCAAAATAGCCTGTCTCGTTCCTTCATCCTGCATGTGTCTCTGTACTGAGACAGGGGGTCAAAGCAGCTGTTTGCTTGATTTATACATGTCAGCAAATGCCCAACTTGAGTTATGCTTTGAATGCTGAAGTTGTTGCAAATCGTAGAAGCATCTGAGTGTAACTTTATATCATAGGGCCACTGATGTTAACCTTAGCTCTTACAAAGATCCTGTAAGTCTGTGTACTGTTTGCAGGCTGAGGAATTCTAAGGGATTCAAGTCCCGGTCCTGGTCATAGTCTTTACCTTACTCAACACATTACAGGAGCAGAGGGCATGCAGGAGTCTTCATTAAAAAGCATTTTTGTCTGTTACTTTCTTCAACTCAAATGGAGCTGTCTCCATTGTGGTTTTTGAAGGTTGCAAAGGTGCCAGTGGTAAGTAAAAACAGTAGCTCATCTAGACTGCCAAAAACCTTGGGCCTTTGTGTCCCATGAGAGCCTGTTCCACACTGTCAGTAGGTTTTGCTGCTTATTCAGCTTTAGTTTTGCATTTCCTTATTAATTTTGCTCTGTCTAGCCTTTGTTCCCCCCAAGGACTCTTTATTTCCCTATTGAGTATTGAATCTTCAAAACATTTGCACTTGAATTAATTTGCCTGAAATTTAAAGAAGAAAATAAGCTCTACTAATGCAAAACACTGGTGTCCTAATTATAGCATTGCCATCCATCTCTCTGTATGGTTTTTTGGGGGTCACATACTTTGAGATATTGGTGCCCCACCAAGCTCAGGGGAAAGGAAAATTGTTCCTATAAGGAAAGAGGTATGTCCTACGTCTTTGGAAGTTTGGGTGCATGCCAAAAGCTCCTAATTTAATCTCATATTTCTCTATGCAGATTGGCACATGGAACAATTCCTCTGCCTCCCAGTTGTCCTTGGCCATCACTGATGTTTTCCATTACTTGCTCTGAAGGTTCATTTCTTTCCCAAAGCAAGATTGTTACATAGGGGACCATCTTCCTGGTCTGTCCTGTGCTTCCTTGCTTTCCGTTCCCTTTCAGAGAGTCTTCAGTGCTTTTTTAATGCTTAAACACTGCAATTGCCTCCCAAAACTTGAATTTCAGAGATGATTTTTTTTTCTGTTGTACAGTTTTTTGTTTTAGTAAGGAGTGATGAGTTACCAAAAGTAAGCTTGACTTCTCTCTTCACTGGTGATGTTTAGGGTGAACCTGCTAAGGCTGGGCATCAATGACTGCTTTGAAAACAATTTATTTCTCTAAGAAGCAGGTCTGTGTAATACATTGTTTTAGACTGAGAGGCTTTCCTGGTTTTGTTTCCCTTTTAGAAGTCTCAGTAGGGTTATGGGACTGCTTGGGAAAAATTGAGTCACTTCCTGGCTTTTTCCACTGATCAAAAATGTCCTAGGGAGTGGCAACAAATAGGTGGAGGGGTGAAGAAGAATATGGCTTGGTTCCAAATTGTACTAGGCATTAAGACATTCTTGGAGGCAGTGCTGACTGGGAGAATTTTTGAGGCAGTTGCCAAACTGCTTTTAATTTAGTTGGGATCATTTTATCCTAATTGACTATTTTCTCATTGGTGGTTGGAATAGTTGTAAGAAAATGGGTTAGACCAAATACAGATCTACATAAGATTCTCAAATGTCTTTGCTAGATTTACACTTAGTCCCTTTTCCTGAAAGTCAGTGTTGGTTTTCCATTAACCTCAAAAGAGAGAGAACCCAGATTGTTTGGGAAGTGTTCAAGAGTAAGGGAAAAATGTACAAGTTTCACTTGCTTCTCTTGGGAGGCAAAAATAAGCATAGATTGCTACAGATAGAGGTGCTCCACTAACATCTCATGGTCTGCATATGGCACACCTGAATGGTGCTGCCAGTTTATAATTACTACTTGAAAAACTGAGGATGTGTTCAGGAGCACCCACTCAGCAGGCTGTAGGATGAATAAAGTGTTTCAGTAGCAACCTGTGGGTGGGTGGGTGTCACTTCTCTATCTGCCTATACATATGTGATGTGGGGATTAAAGGGCTGCCCCCAAATTATAATGGGCTGGAGCAGCTGCTGGAGAGGTTTCTTGCCTATAGTGGCCTCACTTGCTGGCATAAGAGCTGCTGGCAGCAGCCCTTGGTACTGGAGGGTACAGGGAAATACACAGATGGCAGGATTGGTTCTTGAGAGAGGGAAAGGTCTATCAAGTGATAGAAAAGTGCAGTGACCTTATATTGATCAGAAAGGCTGGGCAGCACTGCTGGAGTAGCTCAGGCTGTTGAGCACATGACTCCATGAGGCTGGTACTTCTAAAAGCTGAGAGCATTGTTTACTGAACAGCTCTTCCCAGTCAATGCCTAATGATGCAAAAATACTTGAGACTCCTTGCATGATCCAATGATCACCCTCTCTTTTGGCTTTAAATGTAGTGTAAAGAATTGCTGGGCTGTCAATACAGCTTTAGGCAGGGCCCAAACTTACACTTTTGTTGCTAAATGGCAAAATTATGGTCTAGAGGGAGAGCATGTGGGATCAGGACCCCTGATCTTCCTGTAATTCGAGCACAGTATTCTTTCCTTGAAATGGGATGTGACTACTGTCTGAAATCTACTGCTCTGTAAGTATACCTAAATGCAGTTCAATAATAATAAGAGCTTTCATGAATCTGGAAGATTGTTATTGCTCTTTAAACTTTTTATTGTTAAACTTTATAGAAAGAAATAGATACCTTTTGTATTAATAAAATATAAAAAGTATTCAAAAATAACACTATGGACTCTTGGACTAACCGCATGTAGTGATGAAAACTGTTTCATTCTCTTTCTGAAGCTATAAAAATATCTAACTCAGGTTAATGAAACAAGGTTAAAACTTGCATAAACGCTGTCAAGACAATGTTGGCAATGCTGATTTGAGAAAAATACAAGGTGAATCTGGTTATTAAGCTGTCTTTCTGATTTAAGGAGCCATTTGGATGATCTAGGAAGTAGTTGGGATGCAGACAGGCACAGAAACATTCCAGGGAGGAGGAAGCATTAAGTAGCAATGCTGTTAGTTACCTGGTAGAAATGAAAGTGAATTCTGCTAATTGAGGTAGCATTAATGGAACTTGAAAGAGAACCACTTTTAATCTTGGAAGGTTACAGAAATGGCTTTTCTGAGGTACTTTTATTTTCCAAATATTGGTAAGTAGCTAGTGCATTGCTAAAGACAAAATAATTCAAGAGTTCCAAAATGTAGATTGGCATTTGTTAACAAATAAGAGCAAAGAAATCATTATTAGTAGCATATAAGTCTGTGAAACAATCCAAACAATATGCTAAGTGAAACAGTTGCAGCAGCTAAGAGCAATATCAGTTTGCTACATGAGCAAACAGCAGTGACATGATTTTCCTTTTCTGTTACCTGTTAGTGAGGGATCTTCTGTACCGTCTCCAGACACCTGGCCATGAAGATGAGCATGGTGTGATGGCGAGCTTAAGCATTCCTCTTGTTCTTGCAGGGAGATGGAATTTTTGTGGGGTACCTTGCTCAGGCTCGTGCCCAGACTGCTCACAGGGTTCGTCTGTGGGGCTTCTGTGATTTTCCTGCCTGGTGGCTGATAAACCTGACTGTAGTGGCCTATGGGATGATATGCTGGTTTCTCAGATTTGCTATCATCATCATCAATGACAACCAATTCTGCACGGATAACCCCATCATATCGTGACAGCTTCTGCTCTGCTTCTGCATCGTCATCATCAATGCGCTGATAACCCATGAAAACCATTGTAACTGGCTCAGAGTCATCCACATAACAAGGCACAGCTTGGACAAGGTTGTATCGAACATCTTCCTCCTCTTGAGGTGGAGGGGATGTTTCATTAACATGGTGGGGACTCAAAAGCCTTGTCTCATTATGCCTTTCTCTTGTATTCTGGTAAGGTTTTAATTCCTCATGTCCAGCTTTTCGTTCTTCATTATGAATCATCCTGTTCTCCGTGTTAGTGTGCACTTTCTTCTCTGGATGGGAAATTACTGGAGAGGGAGACTTCGGCTGTACTACCTTTGGAAGATCAAACCCATTCTCTTTATTTTGCTGCATAAAGGGCTCTGTTTTGGAGGAGAGTTCTGTCTGATTGCTGAATCCATTCATTTCTCTTCTTTTGGTGTCTTCCACTTTTGGTCCAGGGACTAATTTGTCTTTCTGAGGAGTAACTGGCCTGCAAAATTTGTTTGCAAACACAGGCTCATGATACTCTGTGGGAGACTGGGAATTTTTTTCAGTTGCCTGCCGTAGCAGGTCCTCCACTTCAACAGGAGCAAGTTCATCCATGCCATTTTGTGTTGTATTGCCATTTGAAGACACTGCATAGACTGACTTCCTGCCATCATCATAGACTTTAACTCCTGTCTCTTTAAACTCCTTTGATGGAAGAGGGATTGTTGATAACACTGTGTTTTCTCCTGTCTTCATATCTTTTTCAACTTTAATTTCCATGGCAAACAATGCTGTTGAAAGAAACAAGTGCTTAAACTGATAACGCAGCAGCTGCAAGAAATATAGAAGAGTTCTGACGGTGATAGAGAATGACTATTGGAATGAATTATCAAATACATGATATTATCACATACACAACTAATATATTGGATTCTCATTTTGAATGTCTCCTGTCATTCTGTGAAAAAAAAATACTTTCATTTGGATCTAATTCGGTGAGGAAAAATCAACTGTTGAGGAGCCAGTTTTCTTTACATGATAGACTGAGAAATCCAGATTTAACCTTGGCCCCTGGTGTGTTGTGCTGGGCAATAGCAACTGAAAGGGGTCAGTGTGCCGTGGTGCTGAAGAGTCTTGGGCACTCTGAAGGCTTAAGAGGCTTTGTTGTAGCTGGGAAATAACCAGACTACTGCTGGCTGCCCAATAGCTGTAAATGTGGATGGAAAATGTGGAATGTATGATCTGAAGGGAGGATGTACTTAAAGTTTTGCCAGGCAAAGGAATGAAATGCTGGAAAGAAGGGTCAGTGGTGAAAAGACTTATTCTGAGTGGCACATATCTTACATCAGTGTCTCACCTCTCAGTTTTGATGACCTAACTGATAACACAGCTTAAACAAGAACAGCGGTGTCTCATATCTGTAATGTTTGCTCTTTGATTAAGGTGTATTAGATTCAATTTATAGGAAGTTTTGGCACACATTGACACCCTTTGGAGTCACTGGTAAGCAGTACCTTTTCTCTTTTCTTCATCATCGTTGGCAGCATGTGCTGTACCTCTCAGTGTGGAAGGCCTGAAGTGCTTGGGTAGGTCAGGTATGCTGGCATAGATGTAGTCTGCTGACTCTGAGTAAAGAACATCCACAGGTCCATAAAGTATTAGTATGTTTTAACTGACTTCTGCAAGAACCTTTTAAAAAAAATTTCTTTTGACTAAACGTACCTTTTTCAAATCCTGCTTTTTCAGTCTTCACAGACTAGGTGGGAAAGAGAACCATTAAAAATAAAGGTGATAATTAGTTTTAAGATGTGAACTAGACAATGCATAGATTTCCCTGATAGTTTTGACATTTTGAGTGCACAGCTTCATACAGAGAAGGGGCTAAAATTAAACATGCTCAGTTGGAGCATAGCAAGGGAGAAAGTGAAATTTCTGTGGTCTTTTTTGCCAATATGATTCTAAGTCAGACAGGGAAGGACAAAATATTATGAAGTGTTAAACAGTAACTTAGCCTCCCACTGGGGCTCAACCCGGTAGGCTTCAAAGATTTTTCATAAGTTCTACTTTGTCTTTCCAGTTTTACTTATCCCCCTGAGTATCTTTAGAGAGTGTGTGTATATGTGTGTATACAGGAACAACTGTAGAACTGAAGTTTAGTTTCATCACTATATTTTTTGAGATGATTTAGGATGATTTTAAAATTCTAAAATGATGTTTTAACAAAGACTCATAACAACATGAAGTTGTTTCATTACAACCTCCCAGGGGCTTGGGGGAGAGCGTGATGCAGTTTAGCTGGGCACATCACCCGAAGGAATATGAAAACACCTGCCTCTGTACCTGTTACATCTGTCTGTAGCTGAGATGGAGTTGCTGGTTGGTGTCAGTGGCAGTGCTATTTTTTGGAGATATGCTGTAGATGAGTAATGGTAGGAATTGCTCCTCCACCCCAATAAACAAGCAAATGGAGACATCTGGGCACTCAAACAATAGAATATCTTGACCCCTCTTGTGACTGCTGTCATTTTAGACAAAAGCTCATGACCACTCATGGGATCCAGCTAGTTCCCCTTTCCCTGCTTATGATGATGAATGAGTAATAAACTCTATTTCTGGGATAATTTGGCACTAACCTTTATTATGTCTTCTGTTGTTTTCTCAACAGACTTCAGTTTCTTTAAGATTGCTTCTTCCTTAGCTGAGACTTCCATTTCCTGTCTTTCCAGAGCCTCAATTTCCTTCTCCAGTCTGCAATCAGAATTGCATTTGATTTAATACCAGACAGAGAACAACATTGCAGAGTTGATACATTGTGAATATGAACATCAGCAAAGCTGGCTTTACTTACCCTGAAAAATTTTGCTCTAATATGACATCAGCTTATAATTTCACATGCATTGGGAAATAAGGGTGAACTAGTATTTTCATTAAAAAGCCCGAAAACAACAAGCAAAACCTGCCGTAGATTCTTTCTGAACCTACTTTAAAAACAGTGACTGCAATTATCTTGTCTAGGTAAGGAGTAGATAAGGAATAAGGCCCTGCACATCATTTCCTCTTTTCTAAACAAGTTGTCTACGTTGTCTCAAGAAATGTGATTATTCTGTTGAAACTAAGATGTAGGAATCTAGTATACAGACACCAGGGTTATGACTTTGGCATTTGTATTGGTATAGATTATGGAAAGAAGCAAATTCTCTTGTTGTAAGGAGTCAGAAGAAGGTTCTTGTACCTGGTAGTACTCAAAGGACTACAGTACATCACCTCATATGTATTTTATTGTATGGAGCCAAACCATGTTCTGGAGGATTCCCCGGAGAGAAAAGTCTATAACTCGAAGGTACAATTCCAGAAGAGCCACCTCTATCAATGGAAATCAAATTCCATGTGTGTTTCTTAGGTGTAGAACAGATTTTGTGTTTTGGTAAAATAATAATGGTATTTGCAAGTACATGCAGATAAAACTGCTCTTAACTAACTTGCTAATATGAAAATTAATACAGCTATAAATAATAATAGCAATGTGCTTTCATGCTACTTTTAAGAAGCAATAAATTCATAATTGTGCAAATTTTGAAATGGAAGAAACCTGCATAGTGGGATGGTGCTCAAGAGACTAAACTGTTGTTTTCCAGTCTATGTGGGATTGAGAATGAAGAATTTGCAAACACCCAGGATCATGCAGGGGCTTTCTGAAGGTGTGTCTATTTGTGTTCAGATCCAAGATGCCAAGATAGTTTTCCATGGTTCTACATGTGTGAATGTGGGTTCTGGAATTTCAGAATTCTTTGCCTTGATAAAACAGGTGTAACAATGCTTGACTGACAGCTTGAAGATTGATTCTTCATGGGAACAAGTCTTGATTGAAAGTGCAAGATATGCTCATGTGGTGTTGTAGCATTTGTGATAGTCTAGTCCAGAGCTTGTATAGCCACAGATTTAAAAATACTAGAAAGTTTTAAGGGCTTCTCTTTGGCATTGGGAACTAAGGCTTTTGCAGACATTCACATATCCTTAGTCACTCATTGGCATTTTGTGTTCTTAATTCTCTGGGAGAAGTGCTGGAATCTTATTTCTGTAGAGTGTTTCTTTTCAGCAGAACAGGAGTCATGTAATGCACACTGGTACGTGCACCCAGGACAGGCAGCTGAGAAGGGTCCTGTTTGCTCTGTTTGCTCAAGCAGTATCCTCATGAGTATCACTGGTGAATTTGCAAGAGAAAACTGGGTAGTCCACACAGGTGTGATACATTTTGCATCAGGTGCCAATAGCATTCACTTTCTAAGATTGCAACTGAGTGAGATTTCCAACACTAAGGAACAATTTTTTTTAAGAGGTTTTTTTTTATTAGAGGAGGAGCCTTGATTGTTCTCAGGTCTATTCAGTGAGAGCTATAAGCCTACCTTTTAGGGATACCAAATATACAAACTGGATATTCTCTAAGAAAGCAGGATATTTGGCAATTGACTTATCTCTGTCAGATTTTAGCAGTGTAAACCAGAACTATTTTGCCAGTTTAGTCTTGGCTGATAGGCTAACTATTGTTATGTAAAAGGAAGAATAAGGCTGAGCAGTCAAAATTTCTTTTGGGGCACTGACACTGCCTGTAGGCTTGGATGTTACTTACAAGTAATCACAGATCCATTCTTGGTGTTACATGTTAAAAATGAGCACAATGATTAAGGCATCTTTTTCCTAATTAGAGTTTTTATTTTCTTAGCACTGTGATGTGTGACAAACACTTCTGGACAATAAGGTCCAGGATAAAATATTGAATCTCTGTGTGGGAGAGGGAGAAAGCTAGGTCTGTTTGTCCTGGTTTAAAGCACACCTGTAAGGTCAAGTACCTCAGTCCAGTTCTATTCTCTGGTGACTAGGGCTGTGACTTAAGCAGGTGTCCCATATCCTATTTTTTTATTCTTTCTAGTCAAGACTGTTCCATCTTTGGGTTTTATATAGAAATTTGCCTTATTAGCCTAGTAGTTGGGAAGTCACTTTTCCATGAAGATCTGCAATCAGTTCTAGGTTTTAGTTTGAAGTGGGGCTTGAACTAAATGTCTCATGCTACACGTGAGTGCCATATAAATTCAGTCTCCTGGTTCATCTACATTTCTTTTTAAAAAACTCTATTAACTTAAAGACAAAAAAATTCAAAATCTTCTTCATTTGAGGGAAATACATCTTCCTTTGCTTTTGAATCCATGCCAGAAATCAATGACTGTAGACTTAAGTCAGCTGCAACTGGTATCACTAGTTGCTGAGATCAGTCAGAATAGTTACAATTAGATTATCTGAGACAAAGTTACAAATGGGGTAATGGAAATATTGGCCTATAACCCTGAGGGGAAAAAACGTGTTGTATTTTGACTTATTCTTTATTATGTGCCAGGATTCACAATATTACCCTACAGTCAATGTTAATAATAAAAGTCTGTCATCTCTTTTAAAGTAAGCAGACTAGAAAAGCTGAATGCAGGCCAGCAGATAAGCATTATTTGTTTCCTTCTGTGTGACTGTTTGAGGAATCTGAATTAATATTATGGCTCTTGCCCTATTTAAACTCAGATATGTAGAGCTACACTAATAGAGGACTACATGGACTTTTATCTGTTAATAAAAACACCTTCTTTTTTGGTATCACAGACCTTGGAACTGAGATGTGAATAAAAATAGATTCAGGACGAAAGTAAAAGCTAAAAAAAATATTTAAAAGCTACCAACACTTCAGACCTGAACTCATCAGGATGATCTTAGAACCCTGATCAAAGGTACTGATTATAGCACTAAAACCTAAAAATTTTATAATGAGGGGGATGAATATACTTGGACAGCCATAAAATAATGTAATGACTGTGTGCCATATTTCTGCACTTCTTACAGAACAGTCTTCATTTAATATATTAAAATGTTGTATTTATAGATGAGACTTGAGCACAATATTATCATAATGAGAAAATTATTAATGAGAAATTCACATATGCATAGTGAACTGAAAAATCATTAATTTATACTATGGGTTTATTTCATTCTTGTTTCTAAACACTTGAAGACACACAGGTGAAAGAAGAAGAGGAAAAAATTTTGGAGATATTAAAAAAAGGGAGAGTGGGGAGAAGAGAGAGAAAACACAACCCCAAATAAAGATTATAAACCCCATATATTTAGGTGGGTGATCAAGAAAAGTATTCAAGTTTATATATGCTCTCACACCCATACCAACACCCACTTTGTATGGTAATAAAGAGAAGTGATTCAGTGCTCAGTGGGATTAGAGAAATATTCTCATACCCATGAATTGGGATTGCATCTAGACCTTAAGTATCTGCTTTGCATTCATATAGACAGATTTTTATGGCTTGTTTTCAGAGGATGTTTTAACTGGAAGTTGAGGAAAGAAAACTTTAAAGAGATTCAAATTCTGTAGTTCAAAGAAATGGACTTCATGCAGTTAAAATGTTAGGCCAGGACCTTGCTGGTGTGTTTAAATCTTTAGAAACTTCTAAAATCAATATTTTTATGAAGTTATATCACAGTTTGTATTTGTCTTGAAAGGGTCTAGCAGCTATATGAGCAATTATAAGCAATTATCTTTTTGACAGGGCTTCTGTTTCTTGTAAAGAAATGGAAGTATGACATAGCTGCTGTATTAAATCAATCCTTTGAATGTTTTCTTTCTCTTGAGTAGAGCTTATCTGAGAGGGAACAAATAAAGAGTACAGAGGTGTGGATGACAGAAGAAACCTTATAAGGCAAGACACTAAATGGAAGGTTTGTCTGCCAAAGTAGTACCTGAATTAAGAAAATCTATGGATTTTTCTTGGTTGCTGCTGCTGGCCACCAGCTGATCTGCTGGGATTGGCATCACTGCCACCCCAGAAAAACAAACAAACAAACAAAGGGCTGAAGAATGAAAAGCAGAAAGGAGGATACCACCCTGGAGAATTCCTGGCTAAGAGGCAAAGGCAGTTTAGCAAGTCCTCACATGTTCTGAGGTGAGTCAAATGCTCTTGCAGCTCTGGAGTACAGCCTTAGTCTATCTTCATGTATCATGTTACAAACAATTGAATAGATCTTAGCTGTTTTGCATTTTTAAGTATGTTGTGTAGCAACTAATTCCATCAAGAATGTTTCTAGCTGAAGATTAAGTAATAAACCAGGACTCCTAGTTCTTCACTCAGCTTGTACCCTGACCAAGGATGTGTTCCCTTGCTCACTGAAGCTTCTAACGTGTAAAGAGGGTTAATAGAACTGATAATGTAAATGCAATTTTTTTTTTGGTCTGCAACCAAAGCGTTCAGCCATTTGTCTGCAAAGTGGTTCAGGCCACTTGCTATTCACTGTTTTGTCATTGTTACAAGGAATGGAACTCTCCCTTTTATAAAAAAAATAAATCTGAACTGATTAGCAGACATACATTAGCTCAACTTGACAGTGGAGTAAAGAGTGTTTCAAAACAGAGGTCCCATTTAGGAGGGTGATGGGAAGGATTGTGCAACCACTGTTAATCTGCCTACAATTGCATTGTCCTCTCAGCAGAAAGAAACAAAAACTGTACTGAGTATTCAAAAAGTCTTTAAAGTGATTCAAATTTTTTTTAACTGAAGATAAAAGCCGTGGGGAAAAGTCATCACAGTGGATAGAATATATCTGAAACAAGGGAATTTTAATAGTCAGATGCTTAGTAGAAAAAATTCTACTGAGCCACTCAATAGTTTGTTACTTTTACTGTATAACATGTCAACATGATCAGTTCAGCAATCTTTTATTTACAGGACAGGTCAAAGGTCAAGCCAAGCTTTTGTTTGCTTGGGTGACATCTATGGCATGGCAAAGGCCCCGTGCAAGTACTGAATAGTGCATATTTTATGTGTTTTTTAGAGGACTTTGTTCACACTGAACTCTGTATTGGTAGGTTTCTGTATTGCTGCTGGCTGGTTTGAAACTGTCCTGGGTAAACAAAGTGTAATGCTGTTTGGAAGCCAACACAGATGTCTTTCTAGAGGCCTTTGCTAGACCTTAGCTATTGAGGAATGGTAGGGAATATAATTTATAATTTATAGCAAAAAATGCTTGATGTGAATAAACCTGTGTAAATTCCTAGTTCAGAGGGAAGTTCCCACATGCTATTCTGCCTCCATTCTCCATCTGGAAAATCAAATGTCTTTGTCCAAATTCTCTATGTATTGTGAAGATAAAAGCTGCCAAAGGCTAAGCTGTGTGTAAGTTGTTTTCTAAGGAAAGTAAAAATACCGGTAATGAAACTATTTCTTTTGATATCAAGGCCTTACAAACATCTAAAGTGTCTTTAGAACTTCACCAATGGTGAATGAAAACCAGGGTGGCTCAGGAATGTAATAGGGAGCATTTCTGTAGTGATTTTCTTTTCTAGGATGCATTCTTCCTGTGTTATTGTAAGAGTGAAGACAGCATGTCATTCCATGTTGTACTGTCCTCATCAGTTAATCATCATTTCAGACCAATCCATGCTAAGAAATGGGAATCATTTTAAGGAGGAAGCAATTTCTTGGAATGTCTCAGGAAGAGGTCATAGACAGGAAAATTTGGTTGGTAAAACTGGTATTAACAACAAATAACTGAAAATGCTTAGTTTGCCATGAAAAAATAAATTGTTGTGAAAGAGCAACATATATATAAAAAAAATAAGAATAACCATTCACAGGTTTTATTAAAGAACAAGCGTAGTAAAACAAATAGCCTTATATTCTTGGGAAAAGAAGGATGTTTTTAATAAGAGGAGAACGCCCAGCAACTGCAATCAAACATTTATTGCAGTTTTTTTCCACTGCAGTGCTTACAGTTGCAAGTTAACTTATTTAATTAATTTTCATTAGCATTTAAATTGCTGGTTTATGGTCACATGATCAGCCCCCTAGATATATAAACATTACTTGTGCTTGTAATTAGGTGAATCTGGAACTGTACAGCAAAACAATTCATACCAACCTTCATTCCTGCTAAAAGCAGGCATAAAAATAGGAATTAAAAAAACACCAGTACTAATAAAACAAACAAAACCCCTCAACAAACACACACAAACAATTCCCTGTTTAAGAAAGCAGCTAGGGTCAAATGATGGGCTTAGCACTTTGAGTTCTACTTTCTTAAAGCACAAATATGCTTAGAAATCTTCCTTCATATTCCTATAGGCATCTTTTTTTGAAAGGTAAACTTTAAAACTTCTAAACCCCTTGTTAAGTTTTGAGTCTACAGACCTCAGGCAGAGGCAATATTCCTTTGATGCCAGTTTTCCTACACCAATTAAAGGTGTTTTTCAGGTTTGAAGCTCTAGTTGAATTACTTTTTCACTATTTGTAATAGTGATAAGTTCTAATAATCCTAAAAAGTGTTTATATGGCTATATTCAGAAAAGTAAAACTCCCTATGTACACTCAGTTTTGATATCTAAGGAAATGAAAATTAAAGCCACTGAGCTTATGACAAATTCAGGACCATAACTGCAAAACAGCAGCAAAAGACTCTACAGCTGTGGTTATAAATCAACCTAGAATCATGTTCCTAGTAAATAAAGGAGTCATTTTGTGAGACTGCTTGTGCAGTTTGTTAGTCCTATGTGATTAGGGGGGCACTAGGCAATGAGATTTGTAGGAACATCCCTAACGAAAGGTAGAACACGACCTTTGCTATAGAAGGCTTCTGGGAATAAATTGAGTACAAAACAACGTAGAAAAGTGAAAATAAGTGATATTACTGGGGCTTAGCCACCTGTGCAGTTGTGAAGTGCTGTGTTATGGTAAAAGCCAGGTATTAAAGGCTGTGCAGGACCTAATAAAACTAATGAATTTAAACTACTGTTATTTTTAAGTTCTGATTTAAAAATTGCTATCTGAGAGCAAAACCCGTATTTTGTGGCTTATGTCTGTTGAATACAGCATGGAAGGGATATATCTGGAATTAGAGAAACAACTACTCTGCAATGTATTTATTGTGCAGTTGATAATATTCACAGTATGGAAGCTTGCATTGTGTATTCCATAATTTCAGTTGACTAGAAAGCATAACAAAGTTTGTTTACCCTGTGTACACTGTATATGTTTAGCCCTTGCTGAAGTTTTAATCTTTTACAAAATAAGGGACTCTTAAGAAGGGACCATTTTAACTCAGACACAAGGGCAGGGCACTACCCTACCTGAAAATGTCTTGTTCCAGCTCACGAGTCTGTTGTTGGTCCTCCAGATTCTGCTTTTGCATTTCTTCTTGCTCTTTTGCAGTCATCGAACTCAGGCCATCCAAGAGCCATTTTTCTCGCAAGGCCTTTTTCTGAAGGGGAAAGACAGACAAGTAAGCAAACCCTAAATGTTATGGCGTTCAACCATTTGCTGTATTTGTCTTGATGCCAGAGACCCAGTCCAGAGTCTTATGCCCTGTTTGGCCTAAGGCAACCTGATGCAATTGACTTTTGACTACTGCTGCCTTGAGGCAGAGCTGTGCCAGCTTTGGTGAAGAAGGCTGCATTAACCTCAGTGCTGCTGGCAGTGGCTGTTGGAATCCCTGCCTGCATCCCATGTTGGGTTACTTAAACTGTTGCTTCCTACACTTTTCTGTTTATTGTGTACTTTACAGGAGGTTATTATGGAGGCCCAGCAGGCAGAGGAACAGGTATGTTGGATCTGATTGCATGTAAAAGCAGTTTTCCACTTGTTTGATGTGTGACACATATGATGCCATCGAAAGTATGGCTGGAACAGGCTTGTTGGGAAATCTGTAGCTTTTTTTTTTTGATTTTGGTTTTTTACCTGTGGGATGTAAGTGCAATGTTTACAGTTGCCTTAGTCCTACAGGACAGTATTCTCTCAACACAGGATCCTAGGAAATGTGTAGGAAATAAGGGCTGCTCCAGACAATCCCAAGCCTTGCCTCTCCAGAATCACTTGGCAGCACTTCCTGGTAGTTGTGTCTTAGGCTCTAATTAAATAAATGCAGAATTTAATAGAGTAGTTTTATGTGATCTGATAGATATATGTAGCCTAGTGTTGGCACAACTCCTATTGACCACAAAAGGCTGTGTTCTCAAGCTGGAGAGAACGTAGTTATTAATTCCCTTTCAATCAAGCTATTTAGATTGTAACGATAAGTAGGGCTCCTAGAAAGTGAGGTTTTGATCCTGGATGGAACTGAATTAGTCTAGCATTGATATCTCCAAACATAAATCTATAGTTCCTTGTGAGATTTACAGCAGGGCTGGCACTGTAGACCTCAGAAACAGATAACATCTATTGTAATCAACAAAAGCTTTGTTTATGTATAGGGTTAGGCCCAAGAAAACAAACTCCCCAAATGAGCATAACACAATAGCGTTATTTTTGCATTTTTCTAGAGTAGTTTGCTGCTGCTCTCAACTAAATGCCACGTAACCTTTTTCATTTAGTTAGCCATTTTTAAAAGAATGACACGTGTATTTGGAAACAGCCTTTGAATAAAAGATGTTTTCAAGTCTGCTCCATCCAGGCAGTGGCACCAGCCAGTGCAGGAGCAGCTGCTTTAGAGCTGCCAGGTTTGTTCTGCTGTCTGGCATTTCCTTCCACAGCAAAGTGTCTCTATCTCAGTACTAAGTCATGCATGTGTCATAGCACTGACATAAAAGCATTTTCATTTCTCGTGAGGCTCAGTATGCTAAGAGAAAGGGATACTTATACCTCATAATGTGCTAAGACTCTGGCAATGGCCAGAGTGCTGGCCATTTGAATGAAAGGAATAACTTTTTTTTTTCCTATGTAGTTCATGGTCACATCAGGAGTGCTGTGACAATATTCTGCAAATTCTGTGAATAATTTACAATGTGTGCTCCAGGCATAGCTCCACTGTAATGCTTAGCAAGGCTGGACTAGCACTGAAAGATTCATCCTTTATTTGAAAGCAAGGGTGTTTGGAGTTTATGGGTCTTGCTCTCCCAGGGGTGTGGCAGTTCACCTGGTGGCATTTTGGGGAAGGCATAAGTTGTTTTCACAGTATTTCACAGAAAATGCAATTCAACACTGTGAACTGCTGGAACAAGGTGTGTGATGAGCACCTACAGGGGAGCACTAATGGAGTTCAGGCATTATCAGAAGCCAGAAACTTAATAGGCTAAACTATAAAAGCCCTTGGAAAGCACATGCAAATCAGCACTGACTGCGCTTTGCAAACAACTCTGTCTGGTTCTTTCCCTTTTTGCCTCAGTGAGAAGGATTCCAGGTAGAAGGAAGAATTAGTTGCTGATGCACCTAGAATTATTTGATGAGATTTGCCCTGTACCCTCACTAGCAGCCCCCACTGCCCCTTGCAGTTCTGTGCAGCCCGATCCACACAGATGTGTTTGTTTGCATGCCCTCTACTTCATGTGGCAGAAGTGCACATGTAGGGGAGAAAAACAAAACAACAACCTTTTAATAAACCCGTTGCTAAGGGTTATAAATAGGAATGAAGGACAAAATGAGGAGCAGGACAGTGACATCCAGCTAACAGGAACATCCACATGACAGTGAGATTTACTAACATAGGGGACAGGTGGGAGTTATGATCAATAGGTCATGGAGCTCTAGATTTCACCATGTGCAATTGTTAAGAGCGTAAATGAATTAAATCAGTGCCTAGGGAAATGATCCTTCTATAAAATTTGCCAAAGTGTCCTAATGTTTTAAAAGTCTAAATATGTTTTAAAGCAATTTATGCACTAGATACTTTTTTTTGTTTTATACCACTGAAATACCTGAATTAGTCTGAAGCATAAATATTCATGAAAGGACAAAACTTCTAGGGCACCTAGCAGAGGATGTTCAGTAGTAATGTATTTGACAGGTGCCTATCCAATTACTGAGTTGTAAAAAGTAGCTTACGTTTTGGGTGTTCCAAATAGCTAGTAATATGTATGTATTTATACACCTTAAATATATTTAAATGTATGCTTGATCCTTCTTTGCCAAGCGAATAATTTTCTCTATAGATCCTTGATTCACCTTGTATATGCAATACGACTGATTTTAATTTAAAAACTCTGCTGGATGATTTTTCATGGAACAGGTGAAGGAATCCTATCCTCTGTTATCTTCCAAAGGAAAACTATTTCAGTAGTATTTTTCCAGGAGTGTTTTAGCCTCTGTAAAAAACTCCATGAAACTTCTTCAGAATAAAGGTGAGGTGGGTTTTTGTTTTCTTAACATTTAAAACTCCATTATACCTGTTAGATTTATCTACAAACATGTACTAAATCTGTAAGGAAACTGCCCTAGGGCTCTGTCTGCACACTGCAGCAGTGAGGGATTAGCTGGATGTCTACAACAGATCAGTTTATCCTTCTATAAAGAAGGGCAAAAGAGTCATCCTGACTTTATAGACGTGAAAACTTGAAACATAACTTTCAATACTCCATGTAATCATGTACTAAGGTGAAGACAATCACGTTTGCTGCTCAACAGTTACAAGACTTAGAAAAGACATTCCCCTTCCTTTTAGCCAAGATGTTACACAGTTGGTCAAGCCTGTCCTTGGAGTAACTACCTTCCAAGAAAACCTGAGCATGGGTGACTTTTGTGTGGGCTCTCCTGGCCCACTAGTGAAGTAGTTTATCATAGTTTCTCCTTTTTTTTTTTTTTTTTTTGGCTTGACACAAAAGAAGAGGGTGGGTGACACCCAGGGTCTGGTGTCTGTTTTGAAGAAGAGTCTGTTTTAAATATGCTTCTCTCCCGTTTCCTGGAGGAGACGTGCCATGCTTCTGGTATTAGATTCAACATATCTTCTTCAAGCTGTTTATCTGCTCACATGATGAAAAGGGTATGTAAAACACCAACACTTGCATATTTCTAGAAGCACAGATTTTGTCTTATCTCCCTAAATGACACCTACTGCCAAGCTGCAACAGACAATTAAAGAATAGTGGTCTTGGGTAGAAATCACTGCCATTTCAAGTCTCTGCAGAGGTGTATCTTTTACTTTCTTAGTAACTTGGAATTTGTAATCCTGAGTTTATCAGGCCCTATTTGAGGGAAATAATTGCATCATTTTTTCTTTTTCTGTTTTTAAAATATATAAAGGAACAGCATTGTTTCACTAAAGAGATATTAAACAAGCTAACAAAAGTCTATAGCCTGCCCCCAAAAAATAGACTGCTTTTTTTCTAGGAAAAAAAAGTGCAATCAGACTTTATGATTGTGCTGCACCCTGTACCAAGTAAGATTGCTGTAGTGGGATTAGGGAGTGAACACACCCAGTCTGAAATGTGAGGCTTAATTTTCATCTGTGAGTTATTCCTGGTTATGATCTCATTTTATGCCATGAAAGTGATCAAATAACACCAGCTCTGGAGTGTAATTTTTTTCAAAGAATGATGCTTATTAAAGGCAAGTGGAGTCCTGGCAAAACTCCAAAAAGCTATGAAAATTTGACAGTAAAAGCATGACTTAAATGCATGAAGATTTGCACTCCAAAATCCAAACCCTTTATTCATGCTGTATTACTTGAGGCTATCTTTAGTTACATAAATTCAACACTTTACTTACCTTTAAATGTTGGTGCTTCATTTTTTCCTCTTCCACTTTTAGACGTTTCTGTGTAATTTCTTCTTGCAGTTTTCTTTTGTCCTACAAATGAAGAGAACAATAAAACTTTGTTTAGAGAAATTACTCACTAACAAAAATATCGTGTAAGTGTTGTTCAGTAGGGTGAAATCAATCCATGCAAATAAAGCCTCATTTTCAAGCTTAGGTGATGCTTAGGCAGTGCATAATTCTTTGCAGCAACAGCCCGTGTCCTGTGCAGGTGTGGTTTCCACTGCTCTTTCTCCAAAGTACGTTTAAACATGTTAATGACCACAAAGGAGCAGTGATACAAAATAAAACCTACTTACTCTTAGGAAGGGTAGGGGAAAAAAACAGGAGGAAAGTACGTTTGAGCAGAATTGTACATGCAGAGTGAGACTGAAAATGGGTCCTGACCCAAATTCCTAAGGCAGCCCACACATCGTTTAGGAGAGGGAAGAGCCTGCATGGTCTGCAGTGTGCAGCTGTGATACATCACTAACTTAAACGGGCTGTCGGGGAATCCAGCACTGTGTTTGTGTATCTTGTGGCTAATAGCTGAAATAAACAGGAATAAACAAAGACTTAGCAATTTATTTTGTTAGTCAGGTAATGGTTAAGACGAACACAGAGAAATGTGATGTGCTTCGTATATGTTGTTGTTACCTCTCAATTATAGAAAAAAAGTTTTGCCTGTGCACAGGCTGTTTTCAGGTTGATGAACTTTAGAAGGAAAAACCTCAAGCAGCGCTGATCTATCATAGTGCCACCTTCATCCTTTTTGTTAGAGATTGCAGAGAAAAGGAAATGGGTGAACAGTGTTGGAAGACTGGCAATGCTTGAGCCTCTCGTGTCTTTGGATAGCGCTGCCACGTGGAGTATCCTTATTTGCTCCTCTGTATGAGGCCAAACACTGATTTAGTACTTTGTGTCCTCAGCAGCCAGTGGGAAAGAAATCATGCCAAATGAAACTAACTTTTATAACATGTATTAATAGGCTAGTCTCTTGGCCAGCCTTAATGCTGTAAAATTCTATTATTTGGCACAGCACCTTTTGCACTTGTTTCTTGGTGTGTTTTAGAGAAGTAAATAGAATCTTCTGTTGTTCTGTGCAGAACTGTTTGCTGACTGGAGGCTAATGCCTCTTTCAATTAGAGCAGCTGGGTTCTGTTAAAAAGCTGATAGCTTTTCTTTTTTTAACAATGTGTTTTCAGACAAGTATGGTTTTGGAAGGAGTTAAGTTCTTCACAAACATAGGAACAGACTTGCCCTTCCAGCCCACCTGAGGAACCAGCTGTGTGTAAGGAGTGTAGAAAGTCAGTAAGGAAGTGCTGGACATATGGCTGGGAGTTGTTCTCCACCATTTCCCTGGGATTTGGGAACAGGAAGAGACATGGTGTGCTAGGCTGAATCACTTTGCTGTTACTGGAAATTAGAAATTAGCAGCATGGCCACAGGCTCTAAGGGCACTTTGTTGAAGGGTAGGAAGTAGAAGAAACCACCTAGCCTTGTGGAGATGGAGGGCAGGACTACAGGTGGCCAAGCATTACTTCTAGTATGCTGGGATTTAGCAGATGTTTACAGATTGTTACAATTCTTAAGAAAAACTTATTTTTCTCTTTACTAAGGTTCTAGGAAAGACTCTTAACCAGGAAATTAACTTTTACTTGGTTTATAGTATTAAAAAATATTCAAAGTGAATTTAAATATTCTTTTTGTACCACTGGAGATGTAATAAGAGTTTGGAAGTCTGAAATGAGAATCTGTACACAAAATACTCTGCAGACAGAAATCAGTGTAAAGGCATAAATAACTGCATTTTAAACTAACTGTATAATAAGGAACCTATTCAGCAGCAAAACGTTTGCCTGATTCTTTTTTTAAAGTTCTATGTTTCTTTTATATCCAATATTTTTCCTCTGAAAGCTTTCCACATGTATCCTTTGGTGTTCTAGCATGTTTTAATTTCACTGGTTGGTATTAAATATCCATTATACAACTATCCAGAAATTGAAATAGATTGCCTTTTATATATCTAGTCTATATCTCTGTATATTCTAATCTAATGCCAGAAGCTAAGAAGTATGAGGAATCTATTTGATGTTGTGGGCCACAATAACTTTTAAAACCTGTTAGAAAAGTTGTCTGCATATCACGTCTTGCTTTACAAAGCTTTGATTATACTATACCCTATCTAATGGAATAAATGTTTATTCCTGGATAGCTGAGGGATCCATGCTTCTACCAAACTTCATGCTCTGCCCCTGTAGATAATCACGTTTCTGGCAGAAGTCCTTGAATCCTCTCTTACTACGTTCTTGTTGCTGTGTGCAGGATTTGCTTTTTATGAAAGAGCACCTTCAGCTGTTCCTTTCTCTTGTCCATCAATGCGAGGTAAGACTTGAGCCTTGGTCCTAATTTTAGCTTCTACTGAAACTAGGGGGAATCTTTCCTGACTTTTGAGAGTAAAAAAGTGTTCTAAACTGGATCTGTCTGAAAGAAAGGGAAATGCAGCCACAGAGCAGTGCCTTGTGAAGTATCTCGTGTGCCAAGTCCATTAGTTTGTGTCAGTGTTGTACAGTGGTGCCAGTGCTGGTGGTCTTGGTCCCATGGCAAATGCCTCATACTGTCAGTCAATGGTGCAGCTAATGCTAAAATATTTTTCTTTTCATATAATTTTCCAGAGATTAAAAAAATTAAACCCCATCAACCATTAAAAACATTGCAGCTTTCACATTTTAAGATATTATAATCTTACTAATAAGATGGGTGCATCTGATATTTTACTTTTTATATTCTATATACACCAGTAGCAGGTGGAAGCCACATAACAAAGAAAAAAGTTTCTTCTCAGAGCCACGTAAGCATCAAAATATATAATAATAATTTATTTTTTTTTTTTTTAATATTTGCTACACAGAGAAGATATGAAAAACAATCTGAAAGCCCCTACTGGCTCTGTGAGAGCCAGATGCTGTCAAGGAGCCAGGCACTTAACGACAGAAACCAGTCAGTTTAGTGCAGGTGCAGTTGTTTATTGCTCTGAGTGCCCCTTGCTTTCCTCTCTTAGATCCTTTACAGCAAACATCTGGTGGGTAGCACTGGAAATTCCCAGGCATGTTACTTGAGACAAATCTTCCCAGAGCTACTGAGTAGCTTGCAATTGTAACTGTAATGTGCTCTTTTCTTAGACAACTCATACTGCAGATTCTTAAGCCTGAAGATAACCTCCCCTTATTTGGCCTGCTTCATTTCTGCAGTCCATTAGAACAAACACATCAAATGTTTCATTCAATGCTATCGACTGATGAAAGCAGGGAGTAAATAGTTTCTTTACACAGCAAGTGTAATAAATGAAGTCATGGCCTAAATATGATTTCCTATTTCTTGTAATGCAAGACACTGGAAGCTGCCCCAGTTTCTTAAAAAAATACTTCGTTATGCATCTGGTGGCAGAGGTGCAGCTGGAGGACAATCAGCACGTTCATAGAGTCCTCAGCAGGCAAGTGTGCTGCCCCCTTCCTTCTCCTGCATCCCAGGGAGTCTAAAACATTGCAAGGCCTGGACTTCTCTGGAGTGCCAAAACAATTGTTATCTTTTGAGCCCATACTCTAGAGACAAAGTCCAGGTTCTGACCCTGGTTCAAGCACCGTTACAGTTAAACAAACCCATGTACTCTAAACCCTCTAAAACATTTCAAATTACCCTCTTGTGGGCTTGCGTCAGGTCTCAAGTAAATATGATAAATGGATCTGTTGGCTTTTATCAAGTGCCACAATTAAAACTCAACCAGCTTAAACCCCAAACTATTAGATTCCTGTAGATTTCCAGCTACCCTTCTCACATTTGATTCCAATCAGGTTTTTTTCACTCTGCCCACTATTTATTCTGCCAGTAGTGTTTGTTTCACAACTAGTCTGTCATGCTAAGAGTGTGAAAAATATCTCTGTTTCCATTATTTGTTTTTAAACAAGTGCCTGAGAGAGTGAGTGATCCTTCTGGAGGTTTTCTTCCATCCCATAGGGCCAAATTTTGTTTCACTTCACCTCTCTTGTAACTGAATAAGTTTTAGTGGAGATCAAATCAGAGGTGAATGAGGATTCAGCCAGTTTTTGTTACATCAGGTTATATTACTTTAAAAATAGCTCAGTAGTTCCTTTTACAAGTTATAAATCTTTTGAATCAGATTTCCCTTTAGAAGAGAAACTGGAAATGATTTCTAATGTCTTCTGCATAAACTTCAGTGAGTCCTTCCTCTGCAAACTGACAGGTAGGACTTTGCTTAATCCAAACTTGTCCGTTTTTACTTTCCAGGCATTGATACTTACGATAGATTATCAATAATTCAGATATTAAATTTAATTCCACAATGCAAACCAAAAATCTTTAATCTCTGAGTCAGGTTGTGAAATGGGAAAATTGATTTGTTCTGGAATTCTCTAGCTGCCTTTTGACCTTCAGGCAAACATTCAGAATGATGACAGTAACATGTATTTTAGACTGACCAGTAGTGATTTGCACACAAACTTTCACTGCTTTGAATTTAATTTGAAAGTGCAATACAACCCATAATAAAGTCAGTACAGGCAACCTATCTCTTTTAAAGCAATAGCCTATATACCAGTATTTAAAAGTAACAATTTCAAGCAGACATAAAGTCTCTTTCTCTCCTGGGATAAATCATTATTCAGCAAACACACAGCAGCTCGTTAACACAATGCTACTTCTAAGGCTTTTTTTTCCTAAGATCAAGTTATAATCGTAAGCACTTACTGTTATGGCCTGGAATCTTTCTTTCAGCAATTCGGCTTCCTCCATTCTACAAATCAAAAACAGACAAGTAGTAAAGGCAAACAGAATCAGACCATAAGCAGAAAGCCTCCTGGTGGGGCTACAAAAAAAGCTGAGGTGATTTGATCCAATTCCAGAGGAGGGAGAAGGCAGAATTTTTGACTTGTCAGAAGAGTCCCTGAACAGATGAGCAGATCAGTCCAGACAGACACATGTAATGAGGGTGTGGAGAGGAGGCAGACAAGGAGAGTGCTGGCATGAGTTGACTGACAAGTTGGAACAGTGGAGCACAAGCCCTTTTCCTTCAGAAGCTGCCAACTCTTTGTTTTAATGTGCTCGGTTAGCGTGCCACTGCTTCTTTAACTGTTAAATGCCCAAACCAGAATCTTACAGGACCAGGGTAGAAGTAAACTTTTATTATTTTGTTCTTTCTCTTTCTTCTCTTTCTCTATGCTTTTGGTGATAAACAGATCTTTTAAACTTATTAATTATTCCTATTTCTTATTAAAATTATTTCACCTGCATGTTTTAACATGTTGTATATTAGCATTGTAGATGGCATGGGGTTTTTTTAGATAGTAGTTTTAATTCAGTTTTCTAGATAAAATTTTTAGAAAAGCTGTATTTGTGGCTGGAAGAATGTTTTAGAACTGCTAACCTAAAGTAAGATAAACTTTAAACAATCAGGTCTGTCACTGAATGCAAGTGTTAATCTGTGCAATTACTGGTCAGCTATCTGGGACTCAGGGGAAGCTTTGTCTAAGTAAGGATTTCAGGATCATCATTTCAGTGTTACCGGGAGGAGTGTAAAATGCCAGGGGCTCTCATGCTGCATTTCCACTCAGCTGACTTGCTGTGGACTTCTGCTGAAAACACCACTCTGTGCCTTAAGGGATGGCGTACAGTTTGACCTTTTCATTTACCTGAGTGAGAGTCAGCCATCCAAAATCAATCTAGGAAACCTGCAGAACAAGTGGAACTGCCCTAGGAAAATCCAGTTGTGGAAAAAATTCTAAGCAAATCAAACAGCATAAAGATGTAATGTGAATCTGGAATCCCTTTGTTACTTTCAGTATCATGTAACTCAAGTCTTTGTAAGGACACCAGCAGAGAGCCAATCAGCAGGTTTGGGTTTTTACCTGTGAATTCATTGAGGTGACTAAACTCACCAGGATTTTGTGAGGGGGTTTATTTTACATGTCAGTGCAATGATCTGAATCTTGGTGGCAAATCAGGCTCATTACTAGCAAATTCGAAGGTGCTACAGAATTGCACACTCAATGGTGAAGTTACAGCCTTATAACTCAGTAGAAATCGGTATTTAGTTCAATTTTCACCTTTCTAGTATGCCATTCATCCGTATACATGAGCAGACTATTCCCCTCTGCACTGGGATTAAGGATGCTTTAATGTTTTGGTTATACTGTGATCCACCCTGAGGTTTTGTTCAAACTTGCAGAGACCCCGTGTTTTATTCTCCATGAAAATTTTATTTCTATTTTCTAAATATTAATAAATACCTCTTTTGGTCAGCACCTGAAATTTAAAAAATTACCACATAAAAGCAAATGTGAAGTTCAAAGGCAAGTGCATTGAGGTGTATCAAGAGACAGATTACATGGGAATTTAAATGAGTTTGGTGTATGGATTTGAGAATGAATTCAAACACCACGTGGAATTAAATACATTCTTGCTACAGAAACCAATGGAGAGACAGTCTTTCTCTTTAAGCTTCAATAAGTTAGTATAGTCTGCCTTATCATATTTTGAACCTCTCCCCCAATTTATTTCATCTTTATCTTCTTTGAAGTTCTTTTAAAATTTAAGTGCATGTGTGGACTTTGGAATGTTTAAAAATATTTGAAGAAGCAAATGTTTACATCAGAAATAAGCAAGTTTAAATCATATATATCCCCTTGCTAGGCAGGATTTGTTCTTCAATCAATAGGTTGTTTTCCAGTTCTCTTAATCCCATTCTAATTGGGATTTATGTGCAAGAGAAGGAATGGACCAGCTGTCATTTTGTCTGCTCTTAAGCCTGCTTCTCCAGTAGGAGTATCCATGGAGTAAAGGTTAGACCAGTGAATCCAAACAGCTGTGTTTTCAGTCCACAGGATTCTTGGAACAAGGTTTTTCAGAACTTGCCTGCCAGAAACATATCCAGTGGAAATCACCTACCTAACCTGCAATTTTAAGGGGAGAAAAAAAAGTGTATTTTTCTTTTGGTAGAATAGATTCTCTGAGTTATGCAGAAAATGTTTTTGTATCATATGTTGAGTCATACAGGTTGGACTTTTTGGCTTCACTTATTCCTTTGTTCATTTCCATTTTGCACTGTGTACCTAATGTAGCAGCAATAATGAAAATCCAAAGCATAAGGTGAAAGAGTTGCATTCTGAATTCTTACAGAAAAGTGGGTTGTAATTTAGGAGAATGCAAATCCTGAACCAAAATCTAGAAGTAGTACCATAGAAGAACTTTCATGTCTGAAAATGCAATTTCTGTTGTCCATTTCTGGAGCAATGTTTGAGTACTGGAATAGAGAAATGCTGTCACTTCAGAACTGTAGCAGCTCTCCCTGGCCATACAAAACCATCTTCAGTTCTGCTCTTCCTCATTGTGCTTGTATTTCTTTTGAAATACATCATTAACCTGGGGTAACACACACAGAGTGAGATATAGATTATTGTAGTAACAAACAATTGCCTCTGAGAAGAAACATTGCATTAAAGGTAAGGAGCAAGCCACTCTTTCAAAAAGTGAGTTTGAAGTGACTGGAGTTGATCAGATTGTTATCAGCTGAAAAGACAGCCTGTACTTTTTTGGAAAGAGTGGTTACTGAGTTCATGAACCAATATTTTGTGAATCTTAACTTTGATTATTTTGCTTAGTGATGAGCTGCCTTTGGTAACTGTTTGAAACAGGAAAAGGGTGTTTTGGACTTGATATCAAAGAGAATTTTGTATTCTTGCAGTGAGCAAATGTGCTGCCACTATGCATTTGATTGCATGCAGCCTTAAATCTCTGACAGCAGGAATGGAAAGAAGGTAAATTTCAGTGAAGGCTTCATTGAAAATGTTTACTGCAGCCGTCCTGTCAATTGACCCAAAGGTCTGGTACTGGGGATGCCTCGGTCAATTGGTCTTTTCTCCAGCTAGAACCACAATTTTGCCTTTTAAAGTGAAAAATAAGCCAATAAGAAACGGAAAATCAAAAATCTAAAAGAAGGCTCTTGTCCCTTCATCAAGTTATATATTTGAAATTTTTAAAAATGTGTACTTTTAAGATCTTAGAGGAAGTTCATAACAAAACACCTACCACCCCTCAGGAGGGATTAAATTTTGCCTTGAAGGCCAATTTTTGGGAAGTAATGCCCTATTAGGCAGGTCTTTTAACATAATGAATTTCTTGGGTCCTCTCACTGAAGCAAAACAATATTCAAATATCTCTATTTTATACAGTTTTATGAAGTTAAATTCTATCTCCTTGTTTGAGTAGACACACCCCCTGAATCTCTGGGAGGAAAAGCCTTGAACTATTATGTTTCTGTTGGTACAACTCCCTTCCTGTTGCTATTCATAACTATGAATACATTAAATCCTTAAAATCAAAGTAAAAAAACCGGCTATTGGTCATTATCTTCAATTGTTTTTCATACACTGATTATTTTAATCATATTTTCTATTACATCTATTGCTCAGATACCTTCCACTATTATAGAGAGGTTTTAGAATGCAGCCCAGGCTCAGGCATCTCTTCTATGGTAGGTATATATCTTATATGCACAGTGGAACCCAGCTGTAAATGCTATTGTGCTAAATTAGGACCATCTTGCCTCTATTTTCTAAAATTACACAGTGAACTTTGTCAAAGTCCACTGATTATTTTTTAATCAGATATCCATGTTTTTTGTAGCCTTTTTTGTGTTCCCAGACACTTGTCAGTTCCTGGTCTTATATATTTTGGAAATGTTTTATGAAACTCTGAATGTGGGACACTTTCCAAAGCACCTTTAACAAACTCAGTTGTGTCACACTTAAAAATCGCACTTCAGTGAATAGTTTCAGTGTAATTACTGTGGTGATAATAAATGTGAGACCCTGAACAGAATGTTTGCAGGTGCTTAAATCAGTGATAGGACTGTGTTTGTTTTGTGGGATTTGTTGTTGTTGTTGTTGTTGTTTTAAAATGTAAACTGAAATAAATAAACCCACAAAGAATCTGAAATACTCAGGATCGGTGCCTTAAACATGATGTGGAATGCGTTGCTTGCAACCTGGCATTTTCCAACTGCTGCAGATACACACTTCTAAGAATAGGGCAGAGTTTTAAATCCTACCCAGCCAACTGTGTGGGGAATTTTTAGCAGGGCTCTGAGAACCAGCTTTAGTTGTTGTGTAGTTTGGTTGTGTTTTATTAAGTGAAAATAAACACCTCATAAGGGGGGGCCAAATCCTGGGGAAAGTAAAAACCCCACACAGGTACTTGTGCTGTCCATAGCAAGGAAACTACATGTTATATTCTTCTGATTCTGGTTTCATGATGCTGTTGGAGAACACAAAGAGAACAGTAGTGGGGTTTGTGTCTGAGGCCTCAGTACGGTGGCAGAGCAAAACTAGGGCCTTGAAGACATATTTTTGTGAACACTTAGTGCCAGGTGTGGTTTCTCAGTGCAAGTGCTGCTGGTGAAAGCCTTAGAAGTACAGATAATTCGTTATAGGACATGAGTTGAAGTGGGAATCCTTTAGGATTCCTGCTGGAGCTGGGGAAAGTGTGTTGCAGAAGAGTCAGGGACAAGACTGGGGGCGGTGAAGCCGTTCAGCAACCTGCGTGGGTTACGTCAGTTGATCCCCATCTCCGGAGGCATGGGCAGAGCTCTCCTGCTGCTCCTCTGAGAAGCTGCCTAACCAGTCTGTGCCTGTAGCGAGGTCTGAGCTATTGGAGCTCAGAGGTTCTGCAAGATGAGATGAACCTTATCTGATAGCTCCCAGCAGAGCAAAGAGGAATTACTGCTTTCTCCTCCCACAC